TCTAATTATCTCCTTAATTGAACTGATTGAATGAGTGGCGTGATTACATTTTCACATTGGCAGATTCTGTGTTGACATAACCATAAAATGAATAAAACAAATGCTAAACATTGCAGTTATTTTTTTCTGGCTTCTTTTAAACAACAGCAGGATAAAGCTTTGGTCACATTCTATGTGTAAGGATATGCAAAAGTCCAGAAATCTAAAAGAGGGCAAATTCTTTTTTCATAAAAAACATATTTTGGGGAGATTAATGGTATCTTCAGAATTTTATTATTCTAATTTTTTCCCCTTAAAACTGAACTAGTTTGAGATTTGTCTCAAGAGAGAAACCATAGAAAAAAGTTTCTTGCAGCAAAAACAGTTTGACAGGTCAACCATCTAGGGAGACAATGGTCTACCCTTCATTAGATGTATTCAGATAGGTGGATACTTTACATCACCTTTGTGCACTGTACAGAGAATTGGACTTAATGCTTGAATAGCCTCTTCCGTCTCTATGATTCTCCAATGGGGAGTTCCCTGAATTTTCTCTGCTTTGCCAACAATAATCTGGAAAAAAAGTCTAAATCCTAAAATATCATGTGAGTTTATTTCTCAAATGCAAGAGATTATTAAATAAATCAATCTATAAATAGACTGGAGTGGTCTAGTATAAAATAAGGATCTTATGAACAACATACTATACTGAAAAAGCCTTTCTTAGAATGACTGTGGGATTCTAAGGATCTGGGATCCTCATGCACATGGTTATATACATACATACATACATGCATGCATGCATAAGGATCATCTGTGGGAGGCAGGGGGGGGAAGCAATCTCCTTTGGTAATTATTACTTTGTTAACTTATTACTGTCAACCTTCATCTGGTTAAATGCCCCATCAGGCTTAGATTTAATGTGATTGGTTCCAATGTGTTCCCTTCCCAAAATTAGATTATATGATTTATCACCTTTGACACAGTTTATTAGGAATTTCCTGGCACACTGCCATTTTGACCTGTTAACATAACACTGCAAAAGCAATGAAGTTCTTTCCAAAGGCAAAAAGTCATTCCATAAGCATAAAGAAGTTTCATGAAGTCATCATTTCTCTCATGCTGCTGCAATATTATATACCTAATCTCATACAAAGCAGACCTAGAATTTACGGTCTCCTGCTTTCTAGCCTGGAGTTGTAACCACTACACTAAACTGGCTCCCTAATACATTGCAACTCAGGGTAGCAATATATCCTATTTTAAAAAAGCTATTTTTAAGTAGGAAGAGGTACTTACAGTGTCCAATGAGCATCAGGATAGCGGACTATCCCAAGTGGGCACATAACTCAATTAATCATCCTCCACAGATGGTGATATATTTTTTTATTTATGTCATAGTAATTTATTTCAAATGTGCAATCATGCATACAGATTAATTTATATACATTTTATGCAAAATTGCAATTTTCTTCCTCAAAATTATTTTTCATCTGTTGCAGTTCTCTGAGAATATTAAAGCGACACACTAACAGGCCATTAGAGTTACAATATGAAGTGGACTTTGAATAAATATAAGAATGGTTCTGTAACATTTGTCACAGTCTAATTAATCAAGTAATTCAGATGCTAGCAGGAATCAAGAGATTATGGGAGTCACAGTGACAAGTCTCTGCACACTGATTAAATACTACCTTCTGGATTAAAGTCATACATGAAGTTTGGAGTATAAATTGAAAAATATTACCATGGTTAAAATAACTTAGAAAACTAAATTATATTATTAGAAGTATCAACCATCAATCTAAAAGCTCTTTGAGTTTCTATCACTATACTAATCTAAAGTCTGAAGCTGGAATAATTTATCTTCATGCTATATACAGTCCAATGAACAAAAATGTGAAATTACATGCACAGTTCTCTGCACAACTTATTTTAAGAAAACGATATTAAACCCAACACTTTGATGGACAAGGAAAGCTAAGGCAAGGTCTTCATTCTATTCTGATGAAGAATAATTCTAGAATGTGGAAAAGTTTTATCTGAATATAATCACCCAACCTTACAGAAATGTTAAGGTATACAATAAGAGGATCAGAATATTGTACCTTCAGAGAAACAATCACAGGTTGCAATCTTAAGGTGGTTTATCTAGATTTAGACCAAATGAATTCAAGGCGGTTTAATGAGTAGAATCATACAACTAGAAAATCAATTTCAGAGGGCAATTTGAAATTGCCAATTTCCAAGTTACATAAAATACTAAAAAGACAAATCATATAATCAATATGTATCTTGTAGCACCTTCAAGACTGTCTTATTACAATAAAAGTGTTAATGGGCTAGATAACCTACAACAGAATTTTTACCATTAATGTAGAATATTTTTTTATAGATATCATAAATCTACATATAATTTTCCTGCTCATAATATTCTTAAATAAATCTAAAGGGAATCCATCATCTCTTTACAGTACTCATTACAGTAAAATTACCTAGATTGTAATGTTTGTAAATTTAAATTCCTAAATTGTGATTAATAAAATACTACAGAAACAAAAACTTTGGATCAGTTGATTATGCAAATATATTTTCTAGATTCTATATTACCTATCAACCTCAAATTTTCCAAGATACCCAGGAAAGAAAAAGTATACCATCTGTATGACATCAGAAACACAACACATTTTCAGATTTGATAGACAACTAATAATGGAACCTTGTGCTGTAATCTGCCAAATTTTTTAGCAAGAAAATTCTCATTTCAGAAATGATAGCCTTGCTTTGGTAGCGAGGTAGGAATAAATATCACCTCAATTTTTTCTCCAGGTTTGCTATAAATAGCATAATAGAAAACTATTAGTCTCAAACTTTATCATTACAAACATTTGATATAAAATGTCAATACAGAACTTAGATAATATCTAAATTTGATGTAATAATTATTTTTCTAACCTTATATTGATTTAAAAGACTATATATAATAAATCAAACACATTAGTCCTAAATATTTTTCCATGTCACATGTTATAATATTTCTTTAGCAGGTGCTACAAATGATCTCAATTTATGGATCAAGTAATGTTCTCCTTCCCTTCACAACATAATGTCAAAATACTGAACTGAGTTGACAGCTTTTAGAGGAAGGGTCCAATTGGCAACTGGACAACTAGATCACCTATCTACCCCAATCACTGCAGTGTGTTATGAATTATTTTCCACAGGACAGGAAATCTCTAAATGCAATATCATATTTCATGGTAGTAGAAACAAGTTATGGAGGAAGTTTAAAATCTGTAATAATTTGAGTCAAATACAGAACATAACTAATAGTAAGATTTAGAATCTGGCTGGAGCTATCAAGATACTTATAATTATAATATTATATTTAATCCCAGAAAATAAACAATAATAAATAATTTAACTTTGTATGGATGGAATTAATATGAATTGCGATAATAGCAATTAGATTTAATCAAGGTCAACTGAATGAGCAATTAAGACAAAGGTTAATACAAATTATGGAAGCTATTACATATCCTGTTAAGGAAAAGATCCCAGAAACATACAGCAAAGAGAAGAATTTATTTCATTCAAACTATACTGATTAGCTTATTGGAACAGATTTTCGTCAGAATAAATGTAATTTATTTAGTATTATTTGTCCTTGGAGGAACATCTGACGGCTGTAACCAGGGGGACCTTTTATCAGGTTCGCCTGATCCGCCAGTTGCGGCCCTTTCTTGATCGGGATTCCCTGTGCACAGTCACTCATGCCCTCGTGACCTCTCGCCTTGATTACTGTAACGCTCTCTACATGGGGCTCCCCTTGAAGAGCACCCGGAGGCTCCAACTGGTCCAGAACGCAGCAGCGCGGGTAGTGACGGGAGCAGCATGGCGCTCCCATGTAACACCGCTCCTGCGCGAGCTGCACTGGCTCCCAGTGGTTTTCCGGGTGCGCTTCAAGGTGTTGGTTATCACCTTTAAAGCGCTCCATGGCATAGGGCCTAGCTATCTCCGAGACCGCCTGCTGCCACCGACGACCTCCCATCGACCCGTGCGCTCCCACAGAGAGGGCCTCCTCGGGGTGCCATCAGCCAAACAATGCAGGCTGGTGACCCCCAGGGGGAGGGCCTTCTCTGTGGGGGCTCCCACCCTCTGGAATCAGTTGCCCCCTGAGATAAGGAGAATCCATGACCTCAGTGCCTTCCGCCGTGCCCTTAAAACCTTCCTTTTCCAACAAGCCGGGCTGGCCTAATTCTTTTTACATGTTTTTTAATTGTTTGGTTTATTGTTTTAATTAATGGGGCCAAATTTATATATATTTTTTAACTGTATTTTAATATTTGTATTTGATGTTTTTATTTGGCTGTTCACCGCCCTGAGTCCTCAGGGAGAAGGGCGGTATACAAATTCAAAAATAAATAAATAAATAAATAAATAAATTATCAAATCATAAAGGCATTCAACTTTATTTAGACCAGGTGGCTAAAAAAGCAGATTGTCTAACAAAGAAAAATATTAATTATGTGATGGAATTTTAAAAGTGTCTTTAAAGATAATCAAGAAATGTTCCAAATAATGTAATTTTACATGAAATTTTCTGCAATTATTATTTATACAAATGCTAAATAGCAATATCTAACAAAACAATTCTTCACAATACCATTACATTATTTACTTCATATTAGAGTCCATATAATAATACTGTAGTAATTGAAGAGTTAATAAGTAAAAAGAACCCCTAACGGTCCCTATTGGGTCAGTCAATTGAAGTTACATTCTCTAGCTTTCATTTATTTTAACAGTTAAAATTTATGCAGGACTAACTTTGTTTTAATATATTTAACAGAAGTTTTGTTTCATTGGAGAAAGAAAAATTATTTTCGACTCTATTATACTGCACTATTTGGCTGTAGGAGATGGCCTTATTGCCATTACTACTATTATTGTCAGCTATCCAAAAGCATTCTGGCATTGGGCCGCACAAAATCAGATCAATTAAAGCTAAGTGCATGTACCTGATCTTGAGATTTCTTTTTCTTCTTTTTCTTGCCCCAGCATCCAGAACTTTCAGTATCTTTCCCATTGGCATCACCACAAAGTAAACCATCAAGTTCATCAGTCCCCATTTGCTGTCCCTGAGATGTTTCTGCAGCGAGTCTATATGAGAGGTTCCTTAAAATGCACACACAGTTTTCAACGGTCTGAAAGAACAAGAAAAAAACAAACAAATTATAATACATTTAGAATGCTCATATTCATCAACAAATTTATCAGTTTTCTTAATATATTTAGAATGCTAGCTGAAATACCCCATCATGGCACAAGATAGTTTTCCTATGAAAGAAGACATTTTTATTCCATCAAAGGTTTCTTCTCTCTATGTATGTGCATATTTTCAAATATGCAGCTTGCTGTATGAAAATTATTGTCACCTCCATGAAAAATGTAAATAAAGCAAGTTATATTTCTTTGAGCTAATAAAGTCTTTGTCTAGATGTAGCAGGAATGTGAATATTGAAAGAGAACAAAACCAAAGGTAAAATGTGTTAAGGTTTCACATATGGAGTTCGAAAAAAAAAGAATACCACCATATGTATTGTGAAGGATCATCCATCATCAACGATGATTATTATCCCTTTAGTGAAAATAATAGATCTGCAATTTAAATTATCTCCAAGATTGATGGAAATATCACATAGGAGTCTTAGGGAATCTATGCTGAAATGTAGTAAACTCGGTGGCAAACCTAAAATTTGTTTTAATTTAAAACAATTTGTGATTCAACCTAAAATGGTTAGGTGTTAGAATAATCTTATGAAGGATTACAGGTCATTTATTCCTTTGCTTGCAAATTCACTCCCCTTTAAATTTTAAGAATTGAAAAAAGAACAAATAAACTACAAGTCTTACCTTGCATAAGATAAAATAGAATAAAAACATTTGATTCTCTCATTTGCAACTCATTAAAAAACTGCCTTTAGAAAACCACAGATGATTTCCTGAGGTCTCTATTAGGATTTCTTCAAATAATCCACATTACACTTAAATTTGGTAGAATTAGCACTGCAGGGTCTGATTGCTACCTCCTATAATCTCCTCATGGTGCTGCTTGCAGGTTTCTATTTTTTAAATACTCTTACTACCCTGATCAGTTATCCAGGTAAGAATCTATGATTCCTATATAGGTAATTCTGCAGAAATAATACATAAATAAATCTCACCTGCCTAGTTGTAAGAATAAACAGGACGTTTACAGCATAATCGAACCAATAATAATAATAATGTCTATGAAGATTCTTAGTTATCCAGGTAAAGTTGTCTGAAGTCATGACAACTGGACTTATTTTTCTTATTAGTTTGAGATGTTTTGCTGTTCATCAGTTAGAGAAAGTTAGTCAGGCAGAAAGTTGTTGGAATGTATCAACTCCCCCTGCACCAACTTCAGGGGTTTCCTCCTCAAAGTGTGTTGCAATATGTCAATGAACATTCTCAGTCATCCAGGTAAAGTTGTCTGAAGGCTGAGTCATGGCAACTAGTCTTATTTTTCTTCTTAGTTTGAGATGTTTCGCTGTTTATCCAAGCAGCTTCATCAGTTAGATCAAGTTAGTTAGGCAGAAAGCTGTTGGAATGTACCAACTTCTCATGTACCAAACTCAGGGTTTCCTTCCCAAGTGCACTGTAATATGTCAATGAACTTCCGCTTACACTTGGGGAGGAAACCCCTTCATTGAGGAGTTGGTACATTTCAACGGCTCTCTGCCTAACTAACTTGCTTTGACCGATGAAGCTGCTTGGATGAGTGGTGAAATATCTCAAACTAACAAGAAAAATTTAGAGCATAATTTTATGTCTTTTTAAGATTATCTTAATAAGTACATTGTTAATTGGTTGTCAATTGCATTCATTCCATTTTGTATTAGATATGTCAAATATTTAAATAAATGGTGACAAAATTTTCTCTTTGCCCCATCATCATATCAGACAAAATATTCCAAATTGGAAATCAATCTTCAATCAAGATTGAAAAATTATCCCTACCCATATCACCATATATCAGTCATATCTGATATATTGACTCAGTTTCAGTATGTATATGTTACTTCATTTGTTAATTCAAATGTATCAGCTACATGCTTGCAGAGTCCATTTGGCATCCTCTTGCAATGATACAATTATTTGATGGGAGAAAGGCTGTGCACAAATAGGTACAATTTCTATCTAATTCCTTCAGTTCCTGACGCCACAGAGAGATGTTAAAAAGAACACTGGGGTCACCTAATACCAAACACGAATAGTAAGGGGGAATTGTGTGATCATTCAAGCAACTTCAGTTAAACAATTTCTTAGCTGTGATATCTGTGATATATATGTATGGATGCTAAGCCATGTAATTATCTGGAAGAATGTTTAGTATATATAAGTGAACTGAATTAAAAATTGCTCTATCAAATGGGCATCTCTCTCTGAGCAGAGGGCTGGGTATTGCTATTGGAAGCCAACAGATCTCATCAGATAGGGATTCTATGTAGAAAGACCTCAGGTGCATCTCTAGTTTATGAAGAGATCATAGATTCAGAGAGGATGCAGTTACTTTTTAACCAAGTTTGATAACTAAGGTTATTTTCTAAGAAAAAACTTGAAAGACAAACAGATACTGGCTGCTTTGTACAGTAAATAGAAATGTAGTTAGTGTCAAGTAGAAATCAAGTATTCCTTTGAACCCTGAAAAACCTGAGTGACCTCTTGATTGATGTCAAGAGACTGGGAAACTTGCAATTGCTGCATCACTAGAGGCCCCATTCTCGTTTTGCCTCAACTGGAACTAAGTGTTTTAGTAGATTTTAGCTGTTTGTCAAATCATTTTCTGATGTCAAGAAATTGCATAGTCCTGGGGATTGCTAGAAATAACAGAGAATCTCAGATGTGTTCAAGAAGGGGTCACAGAAGGCAGTGGCCAACGATAGGAATTCTGGTTGAAGATGAAGAAAATGTTTATAACCCCAAAGTTTGTTGTTCTAAGAACTTGCTCACAAAGTCGGGTTTGCAGGTGAGAGAAGCAATTCTGAATTTATTTTGTTAACAACACTGCTTACAAGAATCTACTGCATGAATTTCCCCAAGGCATAAGGGGTGGAATTTGCTTATGCATTTCTGATTGGTAAATACAGAAGAGAGTATTTGAGGTCAGATAACCATCTTCTATAACATTCATGCATATAATAAAAATAAATCAACAGAATTATAATTTAGCTCTGCCAATTAAGAATGAAAGTAATGGAAATACCAGTTTTGTCTAGCATTCCTTTGCATTATATTTAAATGCTACTACTTAGCACCTGTTGAGCTTTTCAGACGTTGGAAAAAGCAGAGTTGTTTTGTGTATCTTTGATGGAGAAGAGTAGCACTCACTAAGAAGACTATTCATTGTATTAAATTTTATCTGTCAGGATAATTGATGTGCTTGAAAATTACATTCTGTTATACAATTCTCCATCAATTAGTAAGCAGTAAAAATGGTCTATTCATGCTTTGGATAGATGCTTCTAATTTTAGTTTTTAGTTACAAAAAAATTAAATCACTAGCTGTGGATCAAAGTTTCTTGAATTACTTTGCCAGAAAGAAAAAGACATCAATGTGCTTTAAAATAGCACTGTCTGAAGTTGTTTTATTCAACAAAATCCATTTCATTACTTTCTATGGCACTAAGAATGGAAATTTTTAGGAATTCCTAAATTTCCACAGAAGTGTATAGTTGCTCCATGAGGTGTGCTCTTATTGGAATGTAAGGTGCATATTTATTGCACTTTTTAATCACTCAATAACAATATCTGCAGTAAAGAAAAATGCTTTGCTTTTCATCTCATTAAATCTAGAGTAAGGATGCTTTACAATGTGTTCTCAAATCTTATCAGAATATATTTGTAAAATATTCAAAGACAGAGATATGTTTGTTCACTGTGATCTCCTTGATTTGCACTCATACATTCAATAATATAGAAACTTGTTTCTTAAGCCCTTTAAATACAGAAATAAAATCAAGGGCAAAGATTATTTGAATATAACAAATTAAAGGAAGTTTAAATTGATTAGTCTTAAGAATAGACTAAACTATGCTTCCATTTATTGCTGAACAAATTGTAGGAGAAAGAATGGTGATCTGTCTTAATCTATGTTTCTAGGTGCACTGAATACAACTACTATCATTTCCACCTTCCATATTTATAAAGTGAATTTGAGAAAATGTTTTATTTATTTATTACATTTATATGCTGCTGATCTCACTGTTGAAGTGACTCTGGCAGATGAATTAATGAAGACATATGAAGCAGTGCAAGGCATTATTAAGTATCTCAAAATCTAGCTATTACCACTACACAAGGAAATCCATTTTGCATGCCTTCCAATTCTATAAGTATAAAGTATGGGAAATAAGCCCTGAGTAGTCGGGAATCTTTTTTTTTTTTTGTACAATTTCTGCAATAGTTGGAGCTATTTAGCAAAGAGGACAGGAGCCAGGATTTGTTTCATTTTGGGAAGAGTTTGGGAGTTATTATTTGATTTTTGAAACTAAGCATATTTCATGGCTGATAATATAGTGCTCATGATAGAAACCTACCTTTTAGTAATTGTGAGATTGAGAGTGCAAAAACAAATAAACAAATCAATCAATCAATCAGTCTAGGGTAGAGAAACTGAACAAACCTTGCTATCAATTTCACTGCTTCCTAGAGCAGACTGAATCACATAAAGCAATGCATCAGTAAGTCCGTCACATTCTCTCATTCTTCTCCGAGCTTCTTCTCCAGCAGAGCTGACATTCCTGGAAGCAAATAACAATGTTGATTCTTTGCTCAATTTTATTTTTATTTTGTATAAAACTCATTAACATTGATCCCTTTGAAGCAACTTCATTCACAATGCAGATAGCTTGAGACTGTAACTTTCAGACTTCTAGATACTACAGTCCCAAAACATTTGTGGTCTAACTTCTGAACTAGTTCAACATGATCTTTTCCAAAACTCTTTGAAATTCTAATAGTATTAGAACATTGTGAATCTGAGAAAACTTAAAAATTCACAAAGTAGCTTTATGGAGGTAAGATGTCATTTTTGATTAAAAATTTTCATAATTCTTACATCTAAATTCTTTTCTATAAAAAAGAAAGTTTACAATGGTTTTGCATTAAGAATTTCAAAACCTTTCAATTTTGTGTTATTTTCAGTTACCAAAAAATGTATTATTTTATATTAACATACTATGAATAAAACCTAATCTGCAAGAAATTTTGATTTCTGGTTATGATGGTGCTATCGTCAGTTGGGTATTCTCTGACATGTCTTACCATTTTTATCCTGATAACCATTTATTTGCTCTGCCAATTGCATATTGGAACCAGAAGCAAATGATTACATTCTGTTCTCATTGTTAGGGAGGGTTTGTATGTTATCTGCCTGGATGGCAGCATGGAAGATGGACCACATCTTTTCTTCTTAAGCCATGTCAATTGCCATAGAGAAAGTCGTAATGCAGTACTGGATGGTCATTGGTTGAAAGACTTTGATTCTATGATTCCAGAGAGGCAGAAACAACAGAATGTTGCTCCCTTTATGGAGACATCCATAAGATTTATACTTTCTCTGATTAGTAGATATCCTGGTTGCCTAGATTTGGCTTATGCCCAGATGCTGCTTATAAATGAAATACCTTTTATTACAGTGCATGTAGCTAGGTTTGTACAACAGCACAGAATTTTGATGGATCAATATCCTGAAATGCATTCCTGTAGCTATAATTTATTTAAATTTTAGATATTATTTCTTCACTGATATTAATAATTGTACTTTGTTATAATTTTAGGCACTGTATTTAGTGTTTACATTATAATTTAATATAGGTTACATCATGGATTTTACATATTAGATGCTACTTAGGTTATTTTACAAATGTATTTTAACTGTCTTATATTTTATTTGTTTATTATCTGTACTGGTCTTTGATTGCAATAAATTGAAATGAATTGAATTGCGATACCTTCCCATATTTATTCCAATACTATATTTTAAATGATTTTACAGGCGCTGAATTTCAGTGTTCTTTCCTAGTAAATTAATGGAGGGTTGCTTTAAACAAATTGAAATCTTGAATCTTAGATCTTGAATGCGGTTAATAGCAACAAAAATGTTTCAGCTACATAACATTTATGTTAAATTATATTGGCTGCAACTTGCTATTCAATATGCTACCAAGGAGTTGGAATCTTATTTTATATCCTTTGATCTACTATTATTGCTGCTATTTGAGCAAATAATGATAGGACGGATAATATGATTCAGGATCAATTACTGTGTTAAAGAAGCATATGTTATTCTTAGTTACTGTATCTCCCAAATGTATTTTCGGGCATAAGCAGTGGTGGGTTGCTCCTGGTTCACACCGGTTCGCAAGAACCATTAGTAAAAATTTGTAGTAGTTTGGAGAACTGGTAATAACATTGGCTGGCCACGCCCCCGGCCTGGTCTGCCGCTCGCTTACCCCGCCCACTCATCAGAGGCTTTTTTAAAAAAAAACTTTTAAAAGCATTTTTTCTACAACCTCTTCGGCCGAAAAAATGCTTTTAAAAGTTTTTTTTAAAAAAAAGCCTCTGATGATCGCGCGGCTCAGCTGGGATCTTCAGAGGCTTCTGAAAGCATTTTTTTCTGCAACCTCTTCGGCCGAAGAGGTTGTACAAAAAAAATGCCTTTAAAAGCCTCTGGCGATCCCAGCTGAATTTCCTGATCGTCAGAGGCTCCTAAAAGCATTTTTTTCTGCAACCTCTTAAGGTTGTAGAAAAAATGCTTTTAAAAGTAAAAAAAAAAACAAAAAAAACTTGGCCACACCCACCCAGTCACATTACCCCACCAAGCCACGCCGACAAAACAAGCCACACCCACAGAACCAGTAGTAAAAAATTTTTAGAACCCAGCCCTGGGCATAAGGATAGCCAAAAATTATCATACACATATAATATTGAAAGAAGAAATCTACACTTGATTTTTAGCAACCAATTGTTATTGTGTTGTTTGTCAAAATTTGAATTCTTTTTTTCCCCCTAATAAAAGTGCAAGAAAACAGTCTTTCAAGAATCTAGTCAGAGCCTTTGTAATATTCATAACATAATTTTCTATATTTTTCTCATTTTCCTCTTTATGGTATTAATTTTAGAATTTTATTTTGTTAATGCTATTATATGTATTTCTACTTTTTGTTAATTAGCTGAACATTATACAATTATTTTAAAGTTCAAGTTAGCATTTTAAAATTTATAAATCAATCAGAACTATAATATATTTAAATACAAATGGCAACACATCTCAAATCTACTGAAATTAAAATAACAGTGCTAAATTGTTTGTTGGGATTTTCAACGTCAGAATATAATACTGGCGTATCGATTTTTTATTGAGGTTCTTGCACAAATTCTGCATTGTCTATGTAGCATTACTTTTTCTGACTATACCAGCAAAATATAACACATTTTTAAACTGTTAGTTATTGATTCCCTTGAATATACATAATGTAACTACCTAACTCAATGTAAATTTGAATATGGGTCTGCATTCTTGATTTTACAGTCAAATGATTCATAAAATTAGTTAATTTTCATTTATTCAGCCACATTTTTCATTCTGAAATTATCAGGGATCCAGTCACTATAGTTTCATCACATCTGTAGTGTACCAGGTAGAACAGGGATCTGCAACCTTAAATACTCAAAGAGCCATTTGGACCCATTTCCCACAGAAAAGAAAACACCACGAGCCACAAAACCTGGATGGGTGTGGCCAACTCGATGTCACTCACTTCCATTGATCACATGACCCCCTAGTCATGACTACCCAGCTGGTCATTAGGGCAGAGAACCAGTTATTAAAAAACACCGGGAACCACAAAATCCTTTTGACATTTCTCTCTCTCCCCTCCCTCCCTCTCCCCCCTCTCTCCTTCTCTCTCTGTATCTCTTTATGTCTCTCTCTCTCCCACTCTTTCTGTATCTCTCTGTCTCTGCCCTGGCTGCTTCTCCATCCCCCACCGTCGCCCTTACCTTCTCAGGCCAGGCGAGGAGTGACTGGGAGGGGAGGGTGAGGGGCGGGGTCAGCCAGTGGTGGGATCACCTGACATAGAGCCACAGCAGAGGGCCCAAAAAGCCACATGTGGCTCCGGAGCCACAGGTTGCTGACTCCTGACGTAGAGGAATACTTATCAAGCCATTTTTAAAAAATATTTACCCCACCTTTATACTCTGATGAGTAAATAAATAAGTACATTTTAAAATAATAAAATTTAATAATACATTAAATAGAATACTAAAGTCAAGAAACAATTAAAAACTTGGTGAAATAAATCTCTAGAATTTCTAAACATGCTGAATTTTAATTCCTGAAATGCATTTCCTATCTCTTAACTATCCTTCTTATCAAGTTGTCCTTCTGCATATCATGGAAAAGATAGGGAAGAGAAGGAGAACTATCTCCTAAAGTAAAGTGAAACAACAAAAATATTTTACAAATGAGACTTTTCGAAAAATTGAGAAGCAGAAAAACCCAAGAAATGAAAAAGAATAGGGCACAGAAGAACACATATAGAAATGGCTGAAAAGACTCAATCAAGCAAATTACACACAGCATGTAATTTAAAATAATGTGCCATAAAACTGGAAAATAAGTATTAACTATTAGAAAATATTTTCCTTAATGCATGTGGGATTGTATGGAGCACAAGAGACCCTAGACAATACAAAATTGGAAGCACAGTAAGAGACTGTGGTGATTATTAAAAGAACTTACTTACCTAGTTTTAGTGTTTAAACAACCTCTTGAAATCTTGAACAGATTTCATTTCTTCAGAAAATCTTCCTTACATTTCCATTAAATTAATGCCTAATGTAGAACCTAAGCTACTCAACAACTTTCATTTTGGATCAAAATTAAAACAGTACAATTGACTGAAGACTGGTATTTTTCTACCTAGGATAGTCATCCTATTCTACTTAATGTGAGGCTAGGCTATGAAGTCATGCTTGGGCAGTCAAGTGGTCCAAATCAATCTTGATGATCAATGAGATGACAGTTGTCTCAAATAAACTGTTCTTGTAAGTAATATCATTTATCATCAACACTGACATTTACTGTTACAGATGGCTCTATAATTCTTGGTTTTAAGTTGCCCAACCAGCAGTATTGTGCTTTGCCTATCACTATGAGAACCTTTCCACTTTTCAAGACCCTGATCCTTAACAGCTCTTGATCTATGTTGCAGTGACCATGTTGTGTATTGGAATTAGGACTGACTAGTGCATTCCCAAACCTACATGCGGTGCCTTCAAATAATATGAACAAATTGTCAAGCTTTGTCAAATGAAATAGATTTCAGTTCTCATGTCTGAGCTTATTTGTAGCTTCCTGAGTAAGGACAAATGAATTTTACTTCCAGAGCAGATTTATTTTTCAGCAGTTCTCAGATATTCACAAGGAAATAGCATGATCAGGTTTTTTTTCATCAGGTTCGCCTGATTCGCCAGTTGCATCCCTTTCTGGATCGGGACTCTCTACACACAGTCTCTCATGCCCTCGTCACTTCCCGCCTGGACTACTGTAATGCTCTCTACATGGGGCTCCCCTTGAGGATCACCCGGAGGCTCCAACTGGCGCAGAGTGCGGCCGCACGAGTGGTTATGGGAGCAACATGGTGCTCCCATGTGACACCTCTCCTGCGCGAGCTGCACTGGCTCCCGGTGGTCTTCTGGGTGCACTTCAAGGTTTTGGTCACCACCTTTAGAGCAC